GAGCTCCCCCACCCCCACCATCGCTCCCTCCTCCCGCTCTCCGCTTCGCCCTACCTCGCTCCCTCCTTCTCCAGGCAGTCACCTGCAGCGGGGCGGGGAGCAAGGCAGGAGATGCCCCCCGCACGCTCCTGTCCACCTCTTCCCCGTGTTCTTCAAAGCAGCGGGCTGCAAAGGAAGCGCAGTCTCAGGCGCCGACTGCATTTTCTCCAGCTCTGGAAGAGACCAGAGGTCCCCGAGGGCTGAGAGCAGGCGGGGAGGAAGGGGGTGGATCGCCCTCGTCCCCTGCCATCAGACCGCACGTAGTTCTTGTAGGCAACCAACCTTTCTGCTGGGGGTGAACCTCTAAAATCCTGCATCTGTACGTGCAAGAAACGTCGGCCCTCCCAGGCAGAGAGGAGGTGGGTATTGGTCGCAGATGGGGGAGAGAGACTGTCACTACAGGGCCCTGGGAGGGAGGGTATTGTTCCTGCAGTCGGTAGTCACATCCACCAGTGCTCAGTGGACACTCCTTCCCTCCCAAGCCTTGCTCCATTTCCTCACACTGAAGCCATCTGCTAACAAGATGGTCCTGCTGCTGATTGCTATTGCACCACTCCCTTGGAACAGGCTGGGACTAGTATTTTGGGAACGGGAGGATCTGAAGAAAGGGGGCTCTCTCCAGACTGTCCTGACTGTCCTGTTTCCAAAGAACTAGTCCCAACCTGTTCCAAGGGAGTGGGGCATACAGACACTGCGTTCTTTAAAAAGGGAACATCCAATATTCTGTCACCTCTGTACTATAGTATAATTCCTCTGTGCTAAACAAACCTAAAATAAAATCCTTGTATTCAGGAGCTTACAGTTCAGGCATAGGACAAAAGAAGTTCAACAAATACAATGAAACAGACATAGGGAGCACAGGAGATAAGATACATGAAAAGTGGGAGCCACAGCAGGCCAGCTGCATAACAACTTTGTTGTACATCAGGCAGACCTAAGGTTATTTAAAGTACAAAATCACTTTCTGTTAAGTGTAACAATTTTCTAATTTCCTTAGCACACATTGCTTTTCCCAGCACTATAATGCAGACGGGGTATGTGAGAGCATCTAGGAAATCCATAAACAATAATGCTTAGCCCAGACACACTCCAACTAGCTGTATAGCTGTCATCTAATTGTCACAACACCCCTGGGACAAAGTTAAGAATTATCCCCAAAATTATGGAAGAGGGGAGCCTGGGAGAAACAAAGGAAGGCTGGCCCAAGGCTCAGAGACAGGCAGTAGCAGGACTGTTTAACTAGTTCTTATTTTCCTACTCAAGCCTCATTGGCCATATCCAGATGAGTGTGGATGTGTGGTATGTGGTGCCATGGACACACCACACATGCAGGCATTCCCTGTGCTGGTACCTTGCTCCTGGGGTCAAAAAAACCCATGCCAAAAAAAAATAGGGCGGTGCATATGGCAGCAGCATGCGCCAGCCAGAACTGAAGCCTGGCTGGCTGGAGCCACACTCCAGCTGTCGCCCAGGCTCCCAGCTGCAGAAGTGCTGTGGCTGCAGCTCCCCAAGGCCCCCTGGGACCCCAGGTAAGGCTGCTGGGGCCAGCAACTGTGCTGGCCCCAGCCTCCCCTACTGCACCAGGGATAACCTGCTGTGCACCAGAATGTGTGCGGCATGGGCGTTGCACTTGTGGACATGGCCATTTGGGTTAAGTGGGAATCTGTGACCAGATGTCCTGATTATGGGCATATTAGAAGCACGCTAGCTAAACAGGGCTGATTATCCTACTTGCAAGCATTCTGTGTGCAATCACTATTTTATTTTTAAGCAGATAATTTGATTTCTAGGAAAAGTTCTTGTCAGCCATAAGTTGCAACTCTTTAAGTATTGGTTTATGTTTAAACTTAGACCTTCCTTCTCTTGTATAATGTTTCTTCAGTTACCTGTCAGATGAAAAGTACTGTACTACTACATAAAAAAATGTTCTGAATAAATATACTGCTTCACATTTTCCAGCCCTTGCAGCATATTTTTTTTACAATAGAGCTCTCCTGCCTGAAACACAGTCTGGTCTCTATAAGATAGGATTGAAATGCATTGCTTTTCTAATGCTCACAATTCAATCTCAGAGAATTGTCAAGGTAAATACATGTTAAGCCTGGAAAAATCCTTCAAAAAAAGAATTTTGTTTCCACATGAAGCTCAGTGTGACAGAAGTAAATAAAGGCTAGGGACAGACATTCAAAAAACCTGAGCCTGAATTGATTCCATCTTTGCAGGATAGTCTAACCTAGCTAGGCTGAATGGGTTTGTAACAGGACAGCCATTCTCTCTGGATTGAGGAAATTTAGGCACAGGGAATTCTAAAACAGCCCTCCCTTCCTTGCAGAGTGCTGAGCTGAGGTGGGGTGTGGCCAGGCCCCAGCAGGACACTGATTAGGGAGGTCCACCTGCACTGTCCCAGGCTTTTCCCCCAGCCATGAATGACATGTGCCCCCGGTGGCTGGGGGGTGCAGAGGTGGGAGCACGGCAGCAGTAAGTGGGAGCTCTTGCAGGTGCTACCAGCACTGCTGGTGTGGGGGGAGGGGTGATGAGTGCCGACCAGGGGTGGGTGACCACCTGTAGATGCTGCTGGCAGGGATCGCTGACCATCTGCAAATGCCACAGGCAGGGATTGCTGAACACCTGCAAATACCACCAGCTTTTTGTAGGGGGTGCACTGCCACACTCAAAGGGTGCACATGCACCCCCTATGCATTGCCCCTGCCCCTGGCTGCTCAAGGGGTGGGAGTGTTACCAGACCCCTGCTAGCACTCTGAGGCAAAGTGGGGTGTGCAGCAGTGCATCTGTTGATGATATGGAGCTTTTCAGTCTCCCTTCCTGCTTCTTCATACTGTCTGCAGCAAACTGACAGGTGAACAAGCCAGGAAGGGGCTGATAACAGTGTTTTTTACCTCATCAGCAAAACAACAGCCTCTCTCCATTAGTTCAAACTCTTTTTAAACAGCTTAGCAGCTGACCTGTTGATTAGCTCCAAAAGCTGGTAAGTGGTCACTGTTCTATCTGCCTGTCCCAGTGAAATTGGGAGACATGCACAGGCACACCTCATACCATGCGCCTATGGTCTGTGCTGAGGGAGGAGGGAACCCTGCTTGTCCACCAAGCAGCGAAGGTGGGGTAGGGCATGGGGAAGATGGGCAGACAGTGCTATGTCTGCAGTCTCTGTTGGAGCTGTAGCCAGGGAGCAGAGGGGAGGGGCCAACCCTGCTGCGGAGCAGAGAGCCCCACCCAACCCAGAGAGCATGCCAGGATGCTGGGGGAGTCTGGTTAATCTTAAACCAGCAAAGGGTCTGGGACAGACATTGAATAAACTGGTTTAAGTCAAATCAGTTATGTCTGATACTACATTCAACCAGGTTTATATCAAACTGGTTTCAGCCATTTTCAGATTGGTTTATATGAACTGAACATCTGTTTTGTTACAGGTTTAAACCAGTTTCTGATCACTTAAACCAGTTTATGTGTAATGTCTGTCCCTAGCCAAAGAGATTCCATCTCCTATTTCCTTATGCTAATGTGGAGTTGATGAGGCTATAAGTCAAGGGATAGCTAGCAGAAAAGTTTATTTCCAGACTGTCTTTTCTTAATTTGACAGGACTGGAAATAGATTTCAAGAAAATGTGTAAAGAACATGCCTGGGTCTAGTGTTGCAGCTCTCTTTAAAGATCTTACTTTTGTTAGTTGGATTCCTTTCCAGGGGTCATCTGAGTGCAGGTACCCATAATCCTTTTGAGGCAAACAGGCTGCCATGTGGACTATGATGCTGTTCCAAACTGTGGACTTTTAGCATATACCACAGACACAAACATGTGCAGCTTTCTCATTCCTTGCTTATGCTGAATTCAGACCCAGCTACCCCTCCAGTCTTTCCGTATGTCATAGCTCAACATCCACCTGCTGCATACATCTGTCTCCATCGTATCATGTGACTTTAAATCCCTAAATACTCACTACTCAGAATTAAGGATCTAAAGTTACACAAATCTAAGTTTTTTTCAACTTGGAACAGTGAATCTCTTATGATGCATTTTATGTTCAAGGTTCTGAACTCTCCCATACACATACATTAACATGATTTCTTTTCTAGGTAAGTATAATCTTTATCTTACCTAGTGTTCACTGTTAAGTTCTCCTCAGCACTCCTACACATTGTCCTATGTGGGAAGGCAGTTGGCCTCTAAAGTTTCTTCTATCCAATATACCAAAGATTAAAAGTATTCTTTCTGCTCTAGCTTGTAGCTTCCAATTGAATACCAAGTCAAATTCAAGATTGCGTACCCATTTTGAAAGCCCTTCGTAGGACTGACCCAAGTCTCCTAAGGGACTGCTTCACTATGGAAGATCATGAGCTCTCGAGTCAGCGATGTTCCACTGGAACAATGTCACCACCAACCTCATGGGTGAGACTTATGAATACAAGTGGCAGAACTTTCTCAACCAGTGGCCCAGGAATATTAAATTTGATTGTTTAAGAGGTGGAATGATCATAAACCTTAGTACTCGCAAAGTTAAATGTAAAATATGTTCACTGTAAACAGGTGAAACTGAATAACAGTAAAAACCAATTTCCATAGCCTAGACCAGGGGCAGGCAATTATTTCAGGTGGAGAGCCACTTACTGAGTTTTGGCAAGCGATTTTAGGGCTGCATGACAGGTAGCCGGGGCAGATTAATATTAATTTTCTAAATTTTTTAGGGGCCCCGTGGGCCGAATAGAATGGCCTGGTGGGCCACATCTGGCCCCAGGCTGCATTTTACCCACCACTGGCCTAGACAGTGGAGAGGAAACTTTGTGGGTTCACTTCTTAAATGTGCAACACACTCGGAAAAAAAATCTAACCCTCAAAACCCAGAAAGAGTCCAGTGTAATGTCCCTCTGAAGTTAATGCAATTCACTGTAGCTTGTGCATTTTGGAGTAGCTGGCATATCCAAACTAACAGCCCCAGGTGGAAGGGGAAGAAAAGAGCACTATCAAGGCTTTTTCAGTAGCTGCCACTCAAATCTGCACTTTATTCATCCCTTGGTTCACTAGAATCCAGATTTTCTAACCTTCTTGTCACATAACACTATCTTTTAATTTTTTTTCATCCCTTTTTATGTGAAAGGCAAAAACTGATTATATCCATTTGATTCAATTTGGGGTTACTGCAGTCACATGAGTATCTTTCATGTTTACTGAAATTAACCCACAACATTAATTGTGTTTCTCACTCTACATACAGATGCCATCTGCCTCATCAACATAAAAAACCA